TCTTTCCGATCCTGGCTGCTTTGATGTCCTCATCTGTGCCACCGCCTGTAGTTGAAACGATGCTGTCTAGGTAGATGTAGGTGAGAGATTACTTCCTTAAGGTTTCTCCTGTTGATGGTGGTTGGTGATTGTTGGTGATACTGTTGTTGGTTGCGTAACTTCATCACCTCTGTCAGCTTGTTAGTTTTCGCCTGTCGATTTTCGAGTTTATACTACAAGACATTAGACATAAATTATCAGTGGCGAAATCCAAATCTTTTAGGGTCTTCTCATCGGTCAGTTCAGCGTATGCCCATCTTCTCACTCCTCACTGTTTGCTGCATGATCCAGTCCGCTCGGCCACAATCAGGAAGATGACCAATGATAGTAGGCGGCAGCCTTGTCTTACCCCTCTCTTCATTTCACTTCAAAGGCATCACTGAGCTGAGCTTTCCATTGTGAATCACTTGGCATGTGACGTCTTCATATAGCTTTTGAATGAGGTTAGTAAAGATTTATGGCACTCTGTAGTGTTGAAGCAGCAGCTGCCAAAATACTTTTCGGTGGACACTGTCGATGGCCTTCTTAAAGTCTATGAAGTTGAGGTAGAGAGTTGACTGCCCCTGTATACTCTGTTCTATGATGATACGAAGCGTTGCAATTTGGTCCGCACACGGTTTGTACTTCCTGAATCCAGCCTGTTCTGGTCGTCGTTTTGAATCCAGCGCATTCTTTAGTCTCTCCAGGATGATGCGGTCTAATATTTTGCTTGGGGTAGACAGCAGCATGATTCCACGCCAGTTCTTGCAAAGGCTTAGGTCGCCCCTCTTCGGGAGTTTGACAAGATAGCCCTTCTTCCAAATTACAGGTACCTGTCCTTCCTTCCAAACCTTCTGCAGTAGTGGTCTGGTGTGAGCATGTACGCTGTTGTTTCTGGATGTGCTTTCAGTACTTCTTGCAGAATTTTCTCTGGTCCTGCTGCTTTCTCGAATCTCAGCAGTTTTATGGTATTCAGGACTTCTGCTTTTGTCGGAGGGCTTGTGTTCACTAGTAGTTCTGCTGTTGCTGGTGGTATTTCTGGACGAGTTGCAGATGGTGGTCGACTCAAGCGCTTTTTGAAGTGACCAGCTCACTGTTTCCTTTGTTTCTCTTCTTCAGTAACTAGCTTTCCTTCACTATCTCTCATTGGTTTCATCTGCGTATCGCTGATCTCTTCCCGGCAGCCTGTTCTACTTCAATTGCAAGTGTGTCGTAGAAGTATCTTTTGTCTTTGCATGCACTCTTCCTCACTTCTTTGTCCAGTGTTTTATACGTTGTGCTCACTTCCTCTCTTCGCTGTTCATCCCTGCACTGCACTGGTTCATCTTCTGCATCAACATCTCCCTCTCGTTTATCAGCTTCCATGTGTCCTTCAAGATCCATCCATACCTTGTCTTGTTTCCTCTTTCTTCCTTATACAGGTCCTGGTTTCTTTCAACATCTCTTTCAAAGAGTTCCAGTGCTGTTCCACAGAGGTTCCTTCAGGGGTGTTGCTCAATGCCTCCCATTTCGTTCTAATGGCTGACGTGAAGATATGCTTTTGGGTGTTCAACTTGAACTGTGGTCTGTCATCGACTTCTTTCAAGGTTTTCAACTTCATTCGGAAGGTTTCTTGTACTAGATAGTGATTGGTCTGAACTTACATCTGCTCCCCTTCTTGATCTTGTGTCCAGTAGGCCTCGACTCCACTTTCTTGAGATTCAAATGAAGTTGATTTGATTTTTAGTGTGTCCATCTGATGAAATCAATGTGAATATCCTTGTGTTTGTACACACTGCTTCCAATCACCAGATCATTGAATGCGCAGAAATCTGAAAACAATTCTTCGTTCTCATTCATTTCACTGAGTGCTTCTTGACCCATGATGACTTCTCTTCCTGTGTTGTCCACTCCCAGTTTGGCATTCATGTCGCCCATTAGAATTGTGATGTCGCCAACCGGAGTCTTGTCCAGTGTTGATTGCAGTTGTCTGTAGAATTCCTTTTTCTTCTCTTGATCTGCATTATTTGTTGGCGCGTAGCATTGAATGGTTGTGACTTTCCTTCCTTTTGAGTTGACTCTTGCTGTCATGATACTGATGCTGGAGGAGAGTGGTTCCCACTGCATGAGAGCCCTCAATGTTCTTGGGGACATCATGATAGCCACTCCCTCTGTGTGCTCGTAGTTGTCGTCTGGGTGACAATATCAGAGTGGATCACTGACTCACCAGTTGACAGTTTGTAGAGTCCACTTCTATTCCATCTGCTTTTGCAGATTCCAAGTACTTCCATGCCATACCCCCTCATTTCTTTGGCAATCTGGGCAGCCTTGGTAGGTTCATACATGGTGCGGATATTCTATTTTCGCATACTTACTTTCGCTTTCATCGAGGCAGTGAAGACATCGGCCGACTGGCTTCACGAAGACTTTCACCAACCGGCGTCATTTTGTTTCTCCGATTCCAGCTAGGAATAAGTTTAATTTTTTGTTTCGTCTGTGCTTTGAAGTTTATTTGGCTATTGGATTGGTTTTACAGAGTAGGGTTGCTAGCCCTATTCCCAATCTTCCCTCTTTATCCGGGCTTAGGCCCGACTAATAACTAGTGAACTTGTTAACCAGGGAAGGTTCGTTGACTTTGGCGTAACCAATCTTTCGAATGTTTTCTTTGTCTATGGAGATTTAAGTATGTCATTTTATTTATTGAGAAATCAAAGTGACTTTTAGATTATACTGTCTTCCAACTAACTTTTAATATAGCTTTTTTCATATATCAACTGACTGGGCACTGTTGTATGCGTATCTAGTTGCTGTAATATACATCTCATGTAACATGTTGAGATCTCGGGACAGCAAAATATGAGGGATACTGAAGATGTCTTGAGAGTAGTTTATTTCAAAATCAGATAGATGAGTTAAAAGTATATTGTTTTTGCGAAAAAGATTAACATGTGGTTTGAAATTAGAGATAGCTTTCAACACACTTCACTGCCACTCTTATTTTCTGCATCATCACTATATTGTTATAGATGGAGATCAAAGAAAAACCGGATAGTATTAAGTTAAAGAATTTGATTTTTTCAAAACTCAAACTGCAGAAAAAAGTTTAGCTTCTGTGGTCAACATTACTGAAATTTCTGGTTCTTACTTTAATTTATACGCGTAAGTAAATGTGGATCGATGTTTGTTTCTTGTTGTACCGTCATATCATGTGATATAATCTAAGTGGAGAATCGGTACGTGTATGCTAACGATAAACGTCTCATAAAGAGAGTATAAGGCATTGAAGTAGTAGATACCTATGAAAGTTGATAATATAGTAGTGAATTGCATTTTTAAACCTGCCATGTACTTAGAAACACTTTCAGAGTTATAGCCATACTATATACTAGGCTACATTTTAAGGTTTTTAACACGCCCCCTTTTGAACTTTAAGTGTAATAATAAACTTGTATGAGGTTGTTGTCAAACTGAATTAAAATTATTCCCGTTTTTCAACCTGTTTTGATTGCTGTACTGAAAAGGAGTTAGTGTAGCACAGTTTAGTAGCTATCTCTATGATATAGTGTTTTAATATCTGCTGTCGAATAAAATATGAATTATATCAGTGTTTCACATTTTGATTGCAATAAGGGTTTTCATTGCCTCTTTTTCTGTTATCAGATAACTTTTCCTTAATCTACAGTAAACTTGAAAAACTGTGTAGAACAAAATACTTAGATGTTTTGTAGTTTTTCCTATTTACAGTGTAAGGTTTACCTTGATTTAAATATATGGTTTCGAATGCGAGCTTTCCTGGCATTGTATAATAACAAAGATGTATGAAGGATGAGTTTTTAATCATCTCTAAATACATTTCAAATTCCATTTTTGTTGATGTAGGCTGAAGATAAAATAATTTAGGCTTCGTTTGCATACCTGAAGTAAAATTATGATTACCAGTGAAATATTTTCCCTTTTAGTATCCAACATATCAGCATGACGAGTGAAACTTGAACTCTTTAGAATATCCTAACTATTCTGCAAATGTTTTACTAAGTTCTAGGTTTTACTTATTAAAATAGTTCTTTTCTGAGAAAAACTCGATTGGTCTTATATTTGCACTCCGTAATATTTTTTGAAGATTATTTGACATAATTTGATATTTTGATTTCATCTAAGTTTGAAACCTGAATTCGGTTCTACACTATTTAACTCAGTTGGATGGGATCAACCTAATAGACATAGTCAATATTCTTCAATGAAAGAACCTCTTCATAAATTCCTTGATGGACTTCCATACATCACAGAAAGATTTAGTTTCAACTACATCCAGTGCCATAGGGAATACCTTTTGTGATATATAACTCGCGATGTGCTGAACACCACTCACAGAATATTTATTAGAATGTACAGTAGCTATTATATTCCTTAGTACTTTGTAATTAATTGTTGGTTTTGTTTCAAAGCAGTTCCAGATATTTAAAGTGGATTTATCCACATAAATTTACTGAACATTCACTGAATAATATGTGATACTCAGTAGTAAGGAAAACATTTTCATTTCATTCTCCCTAAGAGTTGATAACTTCTTGCTATGAAGTTGAGAATTAGTGTCACTAAAACATGATACGTGATTGAAAGTATTAGTAACCTTTTGGTAATGGATAAATTCCTTTCCTTATGATATTTTGACATATTCTTAAGAAATATTCCTCTCCTACGTTATTGTTTTAAATGACTACGCTAATGCACATTGCATCTAGCTCGCTAAATGTAGTTAAACACTGCTGACTCAATATTCAATAATGGAAATACTACCCAGAACTCCTGAAGCATTAAACTTTGTTTTACTTCGCCTGGAAATATTAGTTTTGGTGATATTTTAGTATTCAAAACAGTATTATTTAGCTGCGTGATATCGTTTTTTCCATGCCTTTTATCTGTATGTGTCATAAACGTGTTACTTTACCATTTTTCATTAAACTACTGATATCATTTCACCTATTAAACATTTAACATTACAGCAATAAATGTAGATATTGACCAAGCGAAGCATAACAAAGAGAAAATTCTGGCATGGACTGAATCGAAACTGGGGATTAACCTAAAACCATTCTTCATTGTTGTTGGTCGTTTAAGAGATGTGAAGGATCCAATGTTTGCACTCCAATCATTTCTCGGTAATTTGCCTAAATATGCTTTTATGTAAAGAGAATCAGTTTACTATAAGTATAATTATGATAAATATTTATGATAGAATAAAATTAATTGATTTTTTCCACCGTTCACAAATTTTTCATGTATATGATTAATACAAAAAATCTTTCGGTTAAAAAGCCTGGCCAACAAACACACATTTATACCAAAATGAAGCTGAACTTATGAATCACAGGATTTCTAATATTAGATTTCTTAAACATGGAATTATTGCACAATATTGTGAAACTTAAATCACCTATATCTACAGACAAAGCAAATACAGCTCTTACTGACGCTTAAAGAATATGTATACAAGAAAACGTTCTCGGAGTTATCAAAAAGCTATTCACGAGAAGAAAGGAATTAAGTTAAGTCAAAGAAATGCTGGAAGCAGTACTACAACGAGAACATTTGGACATCATACTAGCAGTTCCACAAAAAAAGAAATGAAACAGTCTACAAGGAAACTAAACAGAAAGGAATTAAAAGTTTTAGAAACTTATGAATAGCAAAGGCATTTATGATGGACATACCATAAAACTGAATTGGATTGTGAATATTTCAGACAGAATGTTAAAAGACAGGGAAGAAAGAGTTTTGAGAAAAAGCAATGAACTTTATTGTTAACAACATGAAAATAAAGGCAGAAAATGTTATACACGGCACTTGTATTGCGCCAGAAGGATGTTATCAACAGATAGCCGAATTGGTACAAGCATAGTGTGGGTTTACATTGAAGTAACAAAAAACAAGAACATCCGTTATCACTTGAGAAGAGTCGATAGCACTTTGAAAAATTACAAGTAGATAGATCTGTGTCGGTTGCCCAGGTAAACAAAGGAAATTTAACATTGATTCTCAAGGCAACCATGTATGGTAAAAAGGTGAATGAACATCTTCTATCTGGGTCTTATTCTATAATAAACAAATCCATTCGTACAATCATTAATGAAACTACGAAAAACATGGCAAAAATGGTTAGACAAATAAAAAAGCCATTGGTAAGTGTACATAGATTGAAATAATGCCCAAGTCTTGCAATATGCCCAGAATATATGGAATGATAAAGCTACATAATGAGGTCTACACCAGATTTCAGAAACATATAGACATATATGTTATTTGGGTTCCCAGCTGTTACACTACGACCAACACGATGCATTCAGCAAGCAAGACTGGCAGACTCCTCAGAAATGATGGAAAAAGTTAGGAATTCTTAGATTTATGAAGAAGAGGGGCTAGTTATTCTCTGCTTGAACTGTTTATGTACGAAAATACCTATAAATATAGGTATGCAGGAACTGAAGATAAGAAAAGAAAAGAAAGACTGTCTAAAAGAAAGAACACAGTTATCTGTTGGCAGTATACTAAAAGGAGAAGAGTTCTGTTTAACAATAATGTACTTAATGTTTGATGGAAAGTTATACCAGCAAAATGAAGGGATAACTATAGGGTCACCCATTTCAGCAATGGTAGCAGACATATTCATGGATTTTTGGGAAGAAATATCCCTTAACCGTAAATATTCTCGATCACAAGTAGGAGGATAAATGTATGAAACACCGGTCACAATAAAAAGAAATAAAGAAACAGTTTCCATGCAAATACAAGCACTCATGTGAACTCAGTTGAGTCCACTATGCAGATAGAAAATTAATTGCGGAAACTACCAATGTTAGGCTATAAAATGCAAAGAATAATACATGTACGTTAAAAAACTGTGATTTACAGGAAACCAACGCACTGAATAAAATTGCTTCATTACCACTTAGCAGATCCTCTCAGTGGGAAAAGAGGATGAATACAGAGCCTAGCAAATGGAATAGGTAGTCTGACAATATACTTTAATGACCAGCGAACGGAGATAAACACTTCGTTCAAAATGTTATTGAAAAATCATTATCTCGAACAGTCCATTAAAGATAATACCAAGAAAAAGAGAACGCGAGGGAAAAAAACAGAGAACGACAAGAAAGATGAGCATAAGAAACTATAGTACAGCCATATAGAAAGAGTGTAATTGAGTCGATACAACGGAATCTCAGAAGAGTAGTTATTCTAATCGTATTTAGACCAGTGAACTTTATCAAAAATAAACAAACCAGCTAAGAGATCCAATCAAAATACTGGACAGAAACAGTGTCATATGTGAAATATCTTGTGACGACTATCCACTTAACCACTTAGGCCGAATGTCAAGATCACTCAAAATCAGACCAAATGAACATCGATGATTTACTAAAGGTCAGCTCATAGGGACACAAGAATGTAAAAATTTGGAACAATGTCATCGACAGCAGTGCATGCGTTGGTTGAAAAACATGTAAATTGAGAAAATGTTGACATATTAAAGTTTGACATGAACAAATGGAAAATAAGATTCATGACCGAATCTATATTCTTGTAAGTCATACCTCACACATGTATCAAAGGTGAATCAGCACAGCTATCAGCAACATGGAACATAATACAGGATAACAAATGACGAACGCACAAAATGAAAACACTAAATATATGATTTCTATCAAGAAATGTGTAAACAAATAATGCCAACAAATGGTATTGTCATGAACTGTAATTTTGTTCAAAATCTAACCAAAATTAAAGAACATCGAATAAATATCGCAAATATATTTATAGTAAGTTTCTTACCTACTTATGAGTAGGTAAATGGATTAAGTGAAATGTTAGCAGCCACTTTATCGTTTATCAATTAACATATTTAGTTGATATAATTTCCCTTACTGTCTATAAGAGTTTTCGCGTGTAATTCCGAGCGGAAGAATCAAGGGTACTCATATTTTTGCATCGCAGTAGATTGTTAGAAGCGTATGTTCACAAGAGGGATGTCTGTTTGTTAATCCATGTTATATAAGGTTAAATTAACACAGAAAACCTCTTTCTTGAGAATGGATAAGCAAAAGAAGGAATACCTGAATAGTAAGAAAAATAATCATTTAGATAATATGTGATCAACGCTAGGAGAAGCGGGACATAACGGATTAAACGTTAACTCTTGTTCACAGTGTATCAAATCATATCATCAAATGTTGGACTTTTGACTTATAAATATTCTTATATTGAACAAGCGTAAACTGATAGCATTTAGATTCAATAATTGAAGCTATGTCACAACTAGAACAAACCTTTGTTCACTATAATGGTCTAAGCTTTCTACCACTTACTTTTCGCATAGACATGGGAGTTACTTCCAATTCAGAGCTAAGAAAATCTTAAATGGTTTGGTCTCAGAAATATTTCAAGAGAATATCAGTCTGTATTGTTAAGAACTGTAAGGCAAATGGTACTTACATGAGAAAAATGTGAACGGATTTATTTACGATACATAGATTCATATTGAAACTTTTCTCACTGACCTACAGGGTGCATATATTTTGATGAATATCGTAATCTATTTTGACATATTTTTCCTTCCCATGATAAAACATGAATTCCAAGCTGTCAATGGAATGCTGTGCTAGACACTTATGCATACTATAGTTTCTAATAGTCATGTTCTTGGTAATAGTAACTGAACTCTCGTGTTGACAATGTAATGCTGCTGGATTATGGGGACCGCGGAATAACCAGAATTTGAAGTTTACATTGTATGGTAAAGTTGTTTTTATTAAAAATACTGACTCAGCAAAGAAATATATTCCTTTTCAATTAAGTCTTCATCTTGTGCTCTATACTAATATGTTGGTTTACAGTTCAATCAAAATATCAGTCAACTGGTTGGCGAACCAGCCCATTAGCCTTTTTTCTAAATGTCTTAATGAGAAAATTTAAATTTGTTTTTGCTTCCAAAATATTGGGAATTAGCTTTTTAAATTGCCTAAATAAAAATGGATGTAATTCTTAATTTTCTCTAGCTAGGGTTAAATCTGTTTTAACTCATTTTATAAGCATGGGGAGATTAAATTTTGAGATCCTTTCGTGTGTCTTACACGAAGACATTAATATTCAGAACAATAAATGCTTCAAAATATTTCTTATCAATCTTCAGAAGAAATTTGGAAATCCACTTCTTGTTATGGGACTAGTTAACAGATCAAAGAAAGTATATGCATTTGTTAGTATTCACCACCCTGAAATTGACAGTAATGTGTTATTCTTATTGTGTTGTTACTTTACTTTACGTTCCGTTTCTTCTCAGTTAATCTTTACTTAGTTTGATATCAGTCACCAGTATTACTTTTTATTACCATGATGTATTTTGGTTATCTAAAAGTCATGACAGGCTTATTTCATTTAGTCGTTAATACAGCTTGGATTTAGTTCCCAACTTTTGTAGTAATAATGAAGAGTGCTTTAAAAAGTGGCTATTTTTATCATTCTCTGTTTAGATAAGCTGTGCCTTAGTATTTAAATAAAAAAATTAGATAATGAACTTGATATCAGTAGAAAACCTCATACTTCAAGTGATATGCATTTCAGGGATATTCACTTATTGACTATGAATGGCATTATTTATCATCATTTTATCTCATTCAAAGCAAACTTACTAATACCCGATACTAAATTGCAACATATGAAGTCATTCAGAAGAAAATCATTCCTTGCGGACCAGTGTTATCAGATAACTTGCTTGTTTATCGGTGGTGGAGAGAGCGAAGTAAACATTTTTCGGTCTCAACAGGAAATAAAATACAGTGATTCAATAACATAAGCCTTCAATCACCATGTTTTAGGCTAGTGGATTTTCAGAGTGTAACCTAGAAAGATGAGTTTTAGTTAAACTCTGAGGAAATGTTTCTGAAATAAACTTTGCATAGATGCTCCTTCTAAATTTGAAGTTATACAAGTTGTTGTAAATTTGGTTGGTTGTGGCTAGCAGAAGAATCCAGGACGCGCGTTTCTTTCTATTTGGGACTCGCCAGCTGGGTTTACCTGCACCCCAGTGATGTAGTTCCCACTGACACTCGAACCTCGTACCTATCGCTTCATTTTATAGTAATAGAATGTTGTTACTTGCATACTTTTGAGAAAGCGATTGGGGCTGTTAGAAGACTGATATATAGTGAACTATTGTGGCGAATATTTGTAGCTCAGAGAGATGATGTTCGAACTGAGTTGTTCTCTCTGAACATACAGTGAAGTACAGTCTGTCCATTTTGCCTTCCTGTCATGCTCACGCACGAATTCTGCTAATATATTACTAATACTATTTGTCCCTTGGGTTCCTAATGGAACATACACCTTCAGTAGCACGTCTCCATTCCACTCTCTTCTCTAAAATCTTCTCAACCTGGCTCCACGACTGCCCACAACCTCTCATTTCCTCCTCACACGATCTTTTCCATGTCACCCTCACCTCCGACGCCAAACTCGTCGCTTCCCATCATGGTTCCACTCGAGTGCCTGGCCTGACGCATGATGTCCCCAATCGGCCTTCTCAGTGTATGCCCAATCCATCTCCACTTCCTTACAGTGCATATTTGTTGAGCGATAGGTTCTTGGTTGGTTTGTTGCCAGCTAGAGTTCCTTGTTCCTTATTCTTATTATCCTGGCCATCTGATCTTCAGTAACGAGCCAGTGTAGGTGGCAGTTGTTGATGAATGTGTGTAGTTTGTTGGAAATGCCTTTCGTAAGGCACCAAGTCTCTGAGCCATATGGGAGCAGTGACTTGATTGATATCGGTGTTGAAAATCCAGATGTTGTTCACGCTTTATGCTGAGTGGAATGGAGTGGAGTGCAGACGATCTCCACACTGCTTTCAGGCTAGTGAACGCCTGTCTTGATTTTCCGATACTGGCTGGCTTTGACATCCTCGTCTGTGCCGTCAGTGGTTGAAACGATGCTGTCTAGGTGGTGGGTGAAGCAGGCTATTTCCTTTAAGTTTCTCCCGTTGATGGTGATTGGAGTTTGTTGTTGGTGGTTGGGTATCTTCATCACTTTTGTCTTCTCTACATTCACTTGAAGTCCCGTCTTCGCTACCTCTTCTTCCGGTGTCATTTCGCCTCTCCGATTCCAGCGAGGAATAAGTTTGTTTTTATTTTGTATATTTTGTTTGTGCTTCGAAGTTTCTTTAGCGGTTAGATTTGTTTTACGGGGTAGGGTCGCTAGCCCTATGCCCAACCTTTCCTCTTTACCCGGACCTAGGACCGGCTAGTAACTAGTGAACTAGTTAACCAGGCGAGGTCTCTGGTTCATTAATTAGAACGAAACAATGTTGAATCTTTCAAAAAAATTTACTACCTGACTTGTTAGAATTAATAAATAATGTCATTGAATCAAACAATTTTCAGTCTTTTATATTGTATTTTTCAAATACATCATAAAAGCGAATAGTTTGCAGATAGAATAGTGTATCCAATGATCATGCATGATCAAATCTGAATTAACATACAGGTCTTTTTCATTTCTCTTCACCACTAGTTAACTAAAGGATATCAACAGCTGAATAACTTTTTATCTGCTCGTTAATTCATTTTAGTTTGAAGCTTATAGGAATTTTAAATGTTTCAAGTTAGTATTCATCGGAGACTGAAGTTATTTAGAGAAACACTAAAAACCTGCTAGCACTGGAGAGCTGATTAATTTTAGTTCGGATCCCCTCAGTAGTATGTACCCACAACCCTGCTGGGGATTGAACTCAGGACCTTAAGATCTCATGGCGAACGCATCGACCATTCAGTATTTCGGCCGAAGTTCAGTGCTCTAGTTCGTGAATGGTCAACTTGTACACTGTGACACCTGAAGGTCCTCAGTTTAGTCTCTAGTAGAGTCATGGATTCGTACTGCTGAGAGGTTTCACTCTACGACGAAACAGTTGTCCAGTGACCCAGGCTTTCAACGGTTCTCCAACTAATGTCACGTCGTGATGAATACTACCTAGTCATTTATTTGTCCATATTCTTTCTGAATATTTTTTGCACGTCTTGTTTTCAAATTGATATTGTTGGCAATACTGAGCAATTTTGCACTGAGTAGCTTTTTCATGATTTTTTCATTGCCTCTTTAATGAAATAAGGATTATATATTTTCAGTTTTACCTCATACAGCTATATTGTATTATATACACTTTTATTATGCAACCATTGTAACTAAATAATGCATTTGACAGTTGTCATGTTAATACTAAATAAATAACGCAACAAACATTGTTACTATGATGATCACATTGACATTACCAAGTCTGTTGTCTACTTAACTTTAAGTGAATTCTTCCTCTTTTCATAGTATAGAAAACCAAATTCAGTTATTTATCATACTGGTTAAGTAGATCAATAATTCATGCTTTCTGCCAGTGATAAAAACAGTCAACATTCATAACTCACATCTAATTGTAATATTCTAATATCAGGCAAGCATAAAATTATACAATTTATGAAAGTATAATTAAATTCACTATTACTTTATTACAACTAAATCGTACAGTTCTATTATTAAAGTCAATTCAGAAAGTTTACTCCTACATTTAGAAAAATATGCTAATTTATTATCAAATAGATACAAGTTAGTCTACAATATCTAGGATGATAACTTTAGAAATATTAGAAGAAACTCCTTTGATTATAAGAAAAAGCAAGAAGACGGTAGCTGCAAAGAAAAACATTTTCTTTTCGACAAAATTATCCTCTTAGCTGTACTCTGTTGAATATATATAATCGGTTGAGGTTAAAAAAAGTCGTATACGAAAGGAAAGCCATGCAACAAATGTTATTTATAGAAGTAATGAAAGTGATTTTCAATTATATGAAGAACAATATCATCAAATTGTATTACTTAGTTACTATATGGTTTACATATCTACAATTCTTGTTCTGGGTAAACAAATCCCTTTTTTTTTGTTTTATTTACAGAATGGAGAAATCAAGATGACCAGAATGATAACAATTTGAAGACTGTTTCAAAGATTAACCACAAGTTGTATCATCTTTTATACGTCGGATCAATAGTAAGTTTTTCTATGGGTGTTAAGTAAGCCGAAGAGAAGAAGATTATAGATTTTTTAAAAATGTTATTGAGATTAACGTTGTTACTTGTCATCGTTTTTGGTGATAATATCGGAGAGTGGGATTAGGCAGAAAAATAGATATCTAGAATCAGTATTTTCTCAAGATAAAACTAAACATTGAATAGTAAGAAAATGGAAAATATCTCATCACGTTTCCTAAACTTACTCCTTATATTTAGGAAAAGACAGACAATATTATAGTATATTAAGATTTAGAAAAATGTAGACTTTTCTATCGCCTATCACCTATTAAATAGTTATTTCTAATGACAACTTAAGGTCCTAGCCGAGTCCGTTTTCTGATACACACACACACGCACATAATATACTATATTATATGCTGGCTTTGTTGCAAATGATTAGATGACTTTCAAAATATTGATTGTCAGCACAGCACAGTGTTAATAAAATACTTTAAAATGAATCATCTGCCCAACTGTTCGAGTGGTTTTACCCGCCTTAACTGTGGAATCCCAGTTTTTTTCATAAGATTGTTTTAAATATACATATGCCTAAGCTATCAGTAAGGGTTATGTTCATTTCAAAAGTAGTCGCATATATATATATATATATATATATATATATATATATTCCTTGCTGCTAAGTACCATTTTATTAAAGCCTCATATATTTATAAGGATAGACAAGTTAGAAATGATAGAAGCACTCATTGTTTACGGAAACAGTAACTCTTTGAATAAATTTAGCATTTGCTTGTTTAATTTGAAGCTGACAAAAGGTTTTGGAAACTGTATCCAAAAAATCTATTGTATGAAATATTGTTATTTCAGCATATACCATTTTTTGGTTAGTGCACTGATCCCCTTCAGTTAAACTGGTTTCCTGGAATAGGTATCATGTAAACTCTTGAACTTATACAACACTAATGATTTCAATAGTCATACTTGTGGTTAATTACTAAACATTAAATGGCATTTCCTTGATAAATTTGTAGCAGGCAATAAAGAGTGATTTAATCGCTGTTTTTTGTGATGATGATTCCTTAAATTCTGTTGAACCACAAGTAGTGTTGGTATCATTATTCTTAAACACTATGATAAAACTATATTCCTTTTACAGGAATTATTAATTTTTCTACAATGTTCTTAAATGTATTGTGAGTAGTCATCACACCAACATGTCCACTTCATCGACTGTTTTCTTACCGCATAAAAGTTATTGACCTGCGGATATTAAGTGTACTATTACGTGACTTACTTTGATGTAGTTTAATAAACTATCCATAGTGAGCACAAGTTAGGAATCATTGTATTCTAGATGCAGATCATAACATTGTACGAAATTTAGAATTCACTAGTATATATATATATATATATATATATATATATATATATATATAGTGAAACTTGATTAATTCATTGCGTTTATTTGTGAGGTAAATATTACTTGCTTGTATTAAAGCTGTAAGTGAGGTACTAACAGATGTGTGTAGTAGACCGTGGCTTAAAGCTTGTAATATACTGCTTATGTACACTTGGAAATTCGAATGATCATTAGAAGTGTTGTGATTTAATGTGTCAAGCTAGGAGGGTGTCACTCTGTTGATGAATTACTACATTACCATAGGTATGTTCAGACGCACTACACAGGTACAAATTAGCACAGTTATGTTAGGAATCCAACATAAGAAAGAGCTGCAAACAAATGCGATGCCAAATATACCTTTCCAATGACTGAATCAGTGATGAATTGTAGGTCATAGGATTATTCTGAGTTGGAGCAACCTAGAATCCAAGTGTTTTATTTAGCTACTAAAATTCCCGTTACCGATAATACATAGTTCGAGTAAACTAGCATAATTGTTCATCATCGATCTGCTCCCAACTATTATTTTCTTCGCATTATCACACCTAGTCAACACAAAGTTTTCCTAATTTTACCTTGTGTTATCTTAAGAATTCAGTGTAAATTAGGATATAAAAAAATGAATTAATTCACATATTTACCAACTAGTAAATTGTCAAGGTATGTTTTGAAGGTCCATAGAGAAAAAGTCCTCGAAATAACTTTTTTCTAAGTGTTAAGCAAGAAGACAAGAAGAGAGTCGAAATTACAAATTTAGATCGCTGATTCTATTTTCACTTGTTCACTACTTCATTCACTTAGAACATATACAATAAGCTGACTACAGCAAACAGTACTGATTATGAGTGAAAGGAAGTACAAGATATAGCTGATAATTGACAAATTCTTGGCACATTATCAATTGTCAGAAATATCTGATGTCCATTCTCTTAAAGTTTAATAATCTTTAGTACGATGATTAATTTATTCAGAATCAAGTTTCAATTATTGATTTTAATAGCATAAATAGTCGTTAGAAATGCTACCTTTTCGGTGGTTAGATTTATACAATCTATAAAAAGGTAGACCTTCTCTCTAAGACCGAAGGAAGTTACGGGAAATGCACGGTTAGTTAGGTCACGTCACTAGCACTGTGGGACGTGACATTACAGTTTATTGGTTTAAGTTATTGCACGTCACATCAGTAAATTAAGATATAAAGTGAAGCGAGAAAAGACAATAGCATATAAAGAGTATATTCGAATATACAGAAAATCTAGAGGTTTATAAGGGTTCGATTAATCCCATGGTGGAATTTGTCACGGACTGAAATCAGGTGGACAACTGTTGTAAACCTGTTTTCATCGGAGTGTTGGACATCTTAGCAGCACGCCTACAACCTTACCACGAGTTCGGTACGAGACTCAGTTCTTGCAGTCAACATGTTGCTAATAAGCCTGTGGTGAAATATATATCTCGACGGTTTCTTGAGGCGCAAAATTTCCCGGTAAAGTATAACCTGACTCTATAGCAGCGTATATACAAAAATTTGATGCTCAAAATTTCTACTTCATCGGCCAGTGACTTAAAACGTGGACTTCCATTCTAGTCAATTCTCATTATGCTGAGTAGATAAACTGATAGATCAAATGAATGAAGGTTGTTCAACTTCATGTTACAATGCGAGTTTGAACAGTTAAACAAACCGTAAACGTCTTAAATCTTCTGGTACACTAATTTTGTTTAGTTGTAAAGTTAAAAGATACATATTTTACTTAATAGACGTTTCATATATAATCAGTGTCGCTGCCTAGAAGCTCTATCTGCGTATCTGACATAAGATTTACCACTAGGATGCAGTTAGTTTGATGTAATGAGGTGAGATGTATTCGACAGGACGCTGCACACGTAATTCTCCTACTTGTTGGTACAAATCAATGCAATCTGTTGGCAACCTTGAGTCAAGAAATACACTTTTGTCTTGAAAATTACTTTTACAGCATGTAGTATTTTAAGTAAGAAACAAATTGTTGACCAAGAGATGTTGTTTGCTCCCTTTGTACATCTACTTACTCATTTTAACCGGGAAAAATCTATACTTATTGACTAAACTATGAAACAACCTTGTTGGTTATGACGTAACTCGACCATCGATTAAAGATTTCTGCCCCCTGTTAGAATAAAGTTCTAAAAAAAATTATAGTAATACAACTACTTTACTAAAATGTATTATAAAGTATGGTTATTAAAAAAAATTAATTACTAAGTTTCACTGTTTTAATGCATAGAAATTGGAAATTACCTTTAAATGACAAACAATTTCACTGAATAAACTTGTACAACAAATTAATGTAACTTGAACTTCAACTGAACACTATCAACACAGCCTAGTAGTAACGGTTTACGTAGTCAACACCTGAAGATAATTTTAATCTGAATAGTTTGTCACTGGTTATAAACAGATATAATATTTCTTCTTCTTTATTGAAATAATTGCTTATCTGAAAAATGTTATCCTCTTTTTTTCACTTGATTCAATGAAAAACTAGTAGAGTGAATAGTAATTAATGTCATTAATCCACCAGTTGATTTATGTATTAATTCACTTTTTCTGATGTTATTACTGAATACTCACTAACTGGATTTATTTCCCAGTTGAGTAAAAAAGTTTGGTTTTTTTTTCTTACATCCATTTATTTGTTAAATAAATTTAAATAAATCTTTTTCACAATTTCCATTTCCTAGCAATCATATATACATCTAGCCTATATGAATAGTTGTAGAAATCTCGTGAAATAAGAAAGACTTTATGAATATTTCCGTTATCGAAACACAGGACTATCATTACTGTTGTTTTAGTTCACCATTCAGATAAGAATGTCAGTGTATAAATTTTTCAAAAGACAACTTTTACACTGTATGTTAAAGACAGTTTGACTGTTCATTTTGAATAAGCTTTCGTAAATTGATAAAATACTTTGATGTGAAACAGCTGTTCTTTGAGGGAACAATAGAGTAGCTGTATTTTGACAATAATAGGATTTAACTGTCCAATATAAAGCAGTAGCATATGTTATAGTTCAACAAACGACGTTACTCTTTATAATCTGAGTATTTTAGTTTGAAAAGAAATCATGATAAAATTTTCTTAATAATTTTCATACTGTAAACAGCTCTCAGAAACCTTAATGATTTCACCTACAAATTCGATATTAAATATCAATAATTTATAAAAATTAAATCCATTTGCAAAGTCCAGCTAAGTTTATAAGTGATGAATGATTTAAGCTTTATTCATGAATATACTGATCAAAAACAAAGCCAACAAAAGTAAATTGTATACACTAAAAAAAAAGTATAAAAATGAACCAATCACGAAACTTTTCTTTCCTAACCTGTAAATAGTATTTATTGATTCATTATTGATCAGAATTGTTGATCGAAAGTTTCGGTTGTACTAAATAAACATCGACATCGCGTATGTTGACATATATATATATATATATATATATATATATATATATATATATATCGTCGTTATTTCAATCATGCAGCTAAAATGAACAGTTTCACAATTTTTTTAAAGATTAATTGTTAGACAGAGATAGATGATGCACTAATAAAACTGATGAGTA